ATGTTCAGGACTCCGTTTACCTTCTTTGTCTTCTTTTTGCTCTCTTCAGCCAGCAAAGTCTTCAACTCTTCTTGTCCCTTGGCTAGGGTCAAGAGCAATTGTTGAAACTGTGTATTCGGAGCTTGGAGATACTTCACTGTTTGCTCGAGATCCATCTTACTGAAATAAACAGTAGAGAGATGAGGAGACTTGTTGCAAAAGACGTGCTTATGTTATGATGAATGGTATATGCATATGTAATGATTTCAAGGATTTAAAAGATTCAAATCTGTTTTAGAAAAAAAGGAAACACACGTTATATTAATAAGTTAAAGTTTGAATACATCAATTCTTCTTGGGCAAAATAATGCAAAAACTCTAAGATAAAAAGGTAGTACGCATCCTCTTTGGTGCAATGTAGGAATTCAGAGTCTGCTCCTCATGAAGTAGCCTAGTGAGTTCCAAAACCTTCTTCTCGCTTGCGTAGAATTGGGCTTCAAACGTATCTCGCTCTCCTTTGAGTTGAATCCAATCCCTTTGTAAGTCTTCAAGAGATGTGGGCATGTCAGGATGTAGGATAGTCTATGGAACATCTCCCTCCATGACAGGCTCAATAATTACCGGGAGAATGGAGGGGTAAGGCATCATAAGACTCTGAGCACGAGTTCATACCCATTTGAGGTAAGACTCAAGAGGGATGTAATTCTTGTGCCCCAAAGTCTTGCTATCCACCTTATTCAACATTCTCCATGCTCGGATAAATCTCTGGCGAAGACCTTGATCGTCGTTGTCGTAGTCAAATACCAAACCTTGAATCAGCATCTCATGCGGGACATCCCTTCGGGCATAACCAATCTGTCTTAAGGCTAAACAGGGTTTGTAGGTGATACCTCCTTTAATTCCAAGTAAAGGGACAATAGGGAATTCTCCATAACGGTCAACAATGATAACATTCTCTTTGGATCGAGAGCACCAATGAATGTATGAATGTTTGAGCGTCATCAACCTTTGTGACCACCTTGAACCTTGCTCATTCTTTAATACAGATTGGGGAAGATGAGAAATAAACCATCTTGCCAAGAGATGAGTGCAACACATAAGGACACCTCTTTTCCTGATTGTGCGAGTGTGAAAAGAGTGTAGGATATCTCCTAGCAATGTAGGAACCGGGTTGCATGATATGAAGATTTTGACGGTGTTCACATCTATGAGCTGGTCAGGGTTTGGAAACAAAACCATCCCATAAATGAGGAGAGCCGCAATTTCCTCAAAGGCTTGCAAGCCTAAAGGAGTCCAACAGCTTTGGGCCTTCTCAAACAGGAACTTTGCTAGGAAACCTTTGACACCACTCCTTGTTTCCCAATGAGTTGTGATATCAGATGAGTGCGAGTGTCTATCTTGAGCAATATCTTCTGGCTTTGGGTATCATTCCGTACCCTTGAAAGGTAGTTGATTGAGAATGGGAATCCTCAAGAGTTGGGAGAATTCTTCCAAAGTAGGCACAAGTTGATAGTCACAAAATGTGAAGCAATGGTGTAAAGGATCAAAGAACTGAAAAAGCACCTTCATCATGTCCTCATTTGTGTTGGAGGTAACCAAGTTGAGTAGGCGACCATGTCTCTCGGTGAATGGAGAGTTTTCAGGAATTCTTGAGGCTAGCTCCTTAAGTTGTGGAGGGATTCTCACAAGGTTGACTTGAATATTTTTCCTGCGAAGTGAATCCATATCCTACAAAACAAGAACAAAGATGAATCCCAAAATCCTTGAAATGGTTAGTGGATGTATATGATGTTCATGATGTTCATGATGTTATGTACAAGTATGCATATACAAGCAAAACAAACAAATCCTTAGTTTTAGGCTTGCATGGAGTTTTATAGGTAAGTACCCTCTTAAAGTTTAGTTGGCTCAAACCTGTCCTAGTAATAGTAATTGGGTTCTAAGGAGCTCAATATCACTAGATTGTTTCATTGGTCATTTTTTCAGCTCAAGCCTCTTTAATGGCGACCGAAATATCCCAAGAAACCAAACCTCAATGAGTGTAGTATCGAGTATCTACCAACTTTGGACTGCACCAAAGTCGGTCATCTCACTACATACTAAAGGCCAAGTTTGTCAAGTAAAGGTTCTAGAAGTTCATTAGTGCTTTATCACATCACTCAACGGCCCCGTATTCTCTTTGATTAACTCAAAGGCTACCGGTACGCACAAATATGTCGCACCAACGTAGCTATTGCTTAGACCATGTCGGTATACCCCTCACAGTTTCCACAATGTATTGCTACTTACCTATAATGTATCCCAAATTCGGGTAGAGGATTCAAACCCAAACAAGGAACCATAATGTAAAGCATACAAGTCAAACAGTGTAAGCAAGTAAATGTGATAAAAGCCCTAAGGTAACCCCACTTTTAAGTTATCCCCAGCAGAGTGGCCAGTTCTGTTATACGGTGGGAGAACTTACTTGAGTGTTTTGCGTTTGTATTCGCAAATGTTGCGGTTAGAAAGAGTCGCCACCGGATTTTCTTTTATCCAAAAGGAAAGGTGAAAAAGCACGGGAAAGACCTTTGAGATTGTTTCTTGAGTTCGGGGGGTAGATTATGAAAATGGAAGGTATTAGCACCCTTTTCATCCATGGTTTTCCATGGGCTCTTAGTTACTTGCTAGATCACTTGCTTTTGTTTGAATTTATGCTTTGTGTGGTTTTTGAAAGTATTTTGTAAAAGAGGCCATCATTTAGGCAATCTTTGTAATGATTCTCGTTCGTAAGAATGTATACAAAGATGTTGATCTTTTGAAAATGTTTTCAATTTTGCAAGATGTTTTGAAATGTGTAGGTGTTTGTTTTGAAAATAGCAAGGATGTTTGTTTAGAAATGGAGCAAGTAATTAGGAGCAATCTACCTACTCAAATGTCTTTCTTGTTCATTTTCTTTTCCTTTGATATTGTTTTCTTACCATTGATTTGGTAAGCAACCCTATCTTTGGATGTTAACGGGACGGGCATGGGTCATCGTATAGCCATGATTAGCAATGTTGCAAGGTATCTTAGCATTTTTTTGAGGAACTAAGATCATTTTGTAAGGCAACTTTGAATAGCATCATCGAAGGACTATGATCTTATATTTGTTTGTTTTTGCTAAGACACCTTACATGCGTAATATGGCAATTTTGTATAAGGCAACCAATTGGGATAACCCTAGGGGTGCTTGTGTGCATGTGTGTTAATTTCATGCTTGATTTTATCTTGAATTAAGGTTTTCTATTTGATTGGTTTTATCTTACCATACAAACCCTAATTACAGCATGTTATGTAAAAGCGATAAATTGCGAAATTTAAAGTTACTACGCTATTACAACACTTATGGGAGGGGGGTATACAAATTTTGAATGGGGATTTCAATAATATAAACCTAATTAATCTATTACAACCAAATTGAATTTGTACAAGAATTGGAATAAATAATATACAAGATGAATTAAATATGCAAGAATTGTAAATGCAAAGAAAAAAGATTTTTTGTTTGGTTTCTTAAGAAAAAGGGTCTTGATTTTAACCTAAATTAGATAAAGAAAATAATTAGTCAAGTTTAAAATTCATTAAGAAAAAGATTCTTGACTAAAACCCTAATTCTTCTTAATTGATTAAAAGGAATGGATTTTATAAAAAAAGTATTTTTTATATTTTATATTTTTTGTTTTGAAAAATAAATTATAGTGTTATAAAATATTCTTTAGTCTTTTTGGTATCAAAAATATACTTTCATTAGTATAAAATAAATAATATTTTAGTTTTAATTAAATTTACAAGATAATTAGTGAAAATAAATAAAGTGTGATCAAAATAAAATATATTTTTTGTGAAAAAATAAATAAACTAAGTTAAAATATATCTCTACTATTTTTTTGTATTTTATGATTTTTAATATTGAAATCAATATATTTAAGAAAATAACATGAGAATAAAATAAAAAATAAAATAATAATGGGCCAGGGGTGCAAATATGAGACAGGGAGGAAATGTTAGAAAAAAACAATAGGCCCATGAAGTGGAGGCCCAGCGCTGCAAGAGACAAAAAAATGTGGAAAAATGTGAGAAAATGCAAAAGGCGGCGCGCTGAGGCTCAAACCCATGACCTCTAGCAATAACGCGCGTTGCCTTACCACTGGGGTGGCTGTACATCCGTTTATATAGGCAAAACCATAAATATGTGAGGCAAATCCAGTTCTGATGACTTCATCTTCAACCTCCAGCCGGTGTACCTGTAACTTCTTCATTTCTCAACAAAAATGGAAAGTGACAAAATGAAAGTTGTTGCATTCTTCCTCATGAATCACTACGCCAAAAATGATTTTTTGTATCACCTAATTTAATAGCACTTTTAAAAAAAATGCTATTAAAATAGAAAAAACACATTTATAATAACACTTTTTAATCGGGCGCTATTATATAATACAGACTATGTAATTATGATAGCACTTTGTACCAGAACGCTATTATTAAACTTCTTTAAGATAGCATTTTGTATAAAACGCTATTATTTGACTACCTATATAATAGCATTTATTAAAAAGCGCTATGTTATATATAATAATGAATTAATTAATTAATTGATAAAAAAAAAAAAAAAACACATTTTCAGAAAATTGGGTTTCTGAAACACTATCTTCCTCTGCTTCCTTCTGCTTCCCTCTGCTTCCTCCCGCATCCACTCACCGCCAAAAACAAAAACACTATCTTCCTCTGCTTCCTTCTTAGCCAACTGATTCACCTCCGTCAAATCTTCCTCTGCTTCCTTCGGTTTTCATTGATTCACCGCCGTTAGTCATTGATTTACCACCGTCATCCCTTCCTTCGGTTTTCACCCGGATCCATTCTTCAGCCATCGGATTCACCATCGATTCAGATTCAGATTCACTTCATCGGCGCCTGTTGTTTTTGGGTGTAGCAACCAGCAGAGTGGGGACTTGACAAAGTCTGATAGAGCAATTGATGGTATATTTGGATTTGGGCAACAGGGCATGTCAGTAATTTCTCAGCTCTCTTCACAAGGAATAGCACCAAGAGTGTTCTCACACTGCTTGAAAGGAGATAGTAACGGTGGCGGCTTATTGGTTCTTGGTGAGATTGTGGAGCCAAACATAATTTATAGTCCACTCGTTCCGTCACAGTATGTTCTTCCATTAGAATAAAATGCTACATTTTAACTATTTTATGTATATATACTCGTTTATCATCTTAAAGCCCTGGTAAATGTGTTATTGTCAAAATTTTATTTGTATTGAAATGGCCATTTTCTTTGATTAATAAAGTTTAAACATTAAGATTAGTTCTATGTTAAATATTTCAGGCCTCATTATAATCTAAATCTGCTGAGCATCTCTGTCAGTGGCCAAGTTTTGCCGATTGATTCTGCTATTTTTGCTACATCAAACAATAGAGGTACCATTATTGATTCTGGAACAACTTTGGCATACATTGCAGAAGAGGCTTACAATCCCTTTATCAATGCGGTGAGTTTCACTTAGGTAATTTCTTTTCGTCCAATTGATCAATTATGGATATTGCTTTGATTTATCTATATATTAACGGAAATGTTGTTCTCTGTAGATTATCGCTGCCATTCCACAATCTGTGCGCACTGTTCTTTCCAGAGGAAATCAGTGTTACTTAGTTACCACCAGGTTAAAATGAAACTGTTCATATATATATTTAATGGATTATTTTATGACATAATTTCCCCGAATCAAATGCCTATAATAGACAATCTTTCTCTGCCTCTTTCTGGCTATACCGTGTTTAACAGCCTTGACATGTTTCCTCAAGTAAGTCTGAACTTTGCTGGCGCGTCTCTCGTTTTAGGACCACAGGACTACCTTATAAAGCAGAACTATATTGTAAGTATTCAAACTTCAATATCGATTTAAGAGCTACTTCACGTCTAATTATTTTTCTATTATGAATGTTATCTCACTAGTTGAATGATATAATAAACCTGTTGGTTTTATAGGGAGATGGATCAGTTTGGTGTATCGGCTTTCAGAAAATCCCAGGGCAAGATGTAACAATTCTAGGAGGTAATTGTATAATACCAGTTTGGAAACTTTATTTTCGATCCTACTTCAACGCTGTTTGTTTCTGTGATATACTGAAAATATACATAAAAGATGTTTTGCATTTGATTGAAGTATGTTAAACTAAAATAGCCGAATCTTCAAGATATTATCAGAAAGTTTTGATGTTAATTTATGATACTATAACAACACTATTTTTTCTGGCAGACCTTGTATTAAAAGACAAAATTTTTGCACATCACTATCATATTATATTATTCCCACCCCCAAGACTTTATTGTATTATGAATTCACATGAATCTTATAACATGCTAAAAAACAGAACAGAGTTTATGAAAACGACTCACATCTTTAAGATCTTGATCGGTTGAGTATCCAAATTTCAGCATAGTTGCTGCCACATACACTGCTAAACGAATTTTATTTGGAAATTTGTGACATGCATCAGTAATACTCAATCCTCCTGCACTATGCCCCACCAATATAACCTATTATTCATATATATATTATTAGTATTATAATATATAAGGTTAAGAAATAAATCAATATCAAAATAAAAATAAAAATATAGAACTTACCTTTTCATTATCTGGTAAATCAGATATGAAATCAATAAGAGGTTTATTATAATCATCAAAAGTAAGAATAGAATCAGCATGAGATTGATCAATTCCACAACTTTTAAGGTCTATGCATGAAACTTTGTACCCAGAATTCTCCATAAGACAACAAATTTTATACCAACACCAACTTCCTCCACTTATGCCATGTACAAACACAAAGTGCTGTTTCAAAGGAATGGTAGAATTTGAATCAACTACTCCTTCTTCTATATCTCTCACAGCCATGCCTTTTTCCTCAGCTTCTTTTGTTTTCAATGTTGTTGGTGAAACCAATATATATATGTATATGTATATAATCAAAGATAAGAATAAGAATAGTTATAATTTAAGGGGTTGTGACGTTTCCTTTTTATATGTCCTAGTCAATATTATAGGAATAGGGGTTGTGAAAAAGAGAGATTAACAAGTGTGACTATTTTCATTGAGTTTTATGTGTATTTATTTTGTAGAATTTTCAGGAGTTTTTAATGGGCTTTATGTCTATTTGTTTTGTATAATTTTCTTGATATAATGATTTACCTGATTTTGTTGATGTTATGAGAGAACTTTCATGATCTAATGGATTTTATGTGTATTTGTTTTGTAGATCTTTCATGATCTAAGGCACAACAGTAATGGAACAGGTTATAGATGCATTTATGTGTATTTCAAATGTATGACCTTCAGATTTTCAAACATAATTTCCTCTTCAGTCTTTCCTATTAAGTGTTTCTTATTTCATGCTTAAGCTGTTCTAAGTTAGAATATCAATTAAAGCATAGAAGTACAAGTAAATTTTCAACTTCAGAATCATACACATTTTATCTTGCTGATTGAAATGCAGCCACTTAATGTGTCACAAGTTTGCAAGGTTGCTCCAATTCCTGGTGTTGTCTAACACAATAAGGACACTAAAACAATTGTTATGTTGAAGGGCGTGGTAGGTTTTCTCCTGTTGACTTTGATGGTAACATCGTAACAGATCTGACATGAGTTAATGGCATGGGGATTCTTGAACTTGGTATGTGCAAATATGTTATGGTTTGCTAATAGTATCGATGATGCTTTGGTGTATGAGTATGTTGGACATTTCAGTTTTTGAATGATGAATCATGATGATGAGCATGGCATTTGTTGCCTACTTTAATAATATGCTTGTAGGCTTGAATTGCATTGGTTGAACACAGGTATGTATTGCATTGGGTCTGTTTTGATCTTTTTTCTCATACTTAAGGCTTGAATTGTGTTGCAAGACTTATATGGTTTACAGAAGGTTGTACGTTGATGCAGGTTAGCATGACTATTATGCACAAGCTCCTGTCGTACATGCTATGCACATCAAAGTTCTACTGCAAAAGCTCCTTCTCCAATGAGTAATTTATAGTCATGCTTAATAACAGTAGAAGCTCTTGTAGAATTCAATTTGCATGTGATAGAGCTTTATACCCTGTTTTCCTTTCTAGAGTTTATATGTAGCATGATAAGCTTTATACCCTGATAGACCTTCTTCTTTCACTCTCTCATAATCTGTTTTGTGTATTTTAGGAATAAGTTGTTTTTGTGTTTTTACTCTTATATGAATAAGTTGTTTTTGTTGTTAAAAAATTCTACCACTACTGTGATAGTTCCTTCACCACTACTGTAATATCAAACAACAATGCTAAACAAAATTGTTTGGAACTGATCAGCTGGGATTGGGGTCTAAATTTTACGTGGTTGGTGTTTCCATGGGCTGACAAGTTGTTTGGAACTGTCTTAAGCACATACCTCACAGGTTCCAAATTTTGGCATCTTACATTCTTACCTGGTTGCACTTGCAGAGATCGTAGTAGCAGCATGGAGGATCCAGATGGGACATTGGCTAGTGTTGCGCAATGCATTGAGCAGCTGCGTCAGAGCTCGTCTTCTGTGCATGAGAAAGAGTATTCCTTAAGGCAGTTATTGGATCTTATAGATATGCGTGAAAATGCATTTAGTGCTGTTGGATCTCACTCTCAGGCTGTTCCAGTGCTTGTTTCCCTTCTCCGGTCAGGTTCGTTGAATGTGAAGATCCAGGCAGCAACTGTTTTGGGATCACTTTGTAAAGAAAATGAGCTGAGGGTGAAAGTCTTGCTTGGAGGCTGTATTCCTCCATTGCTTGGTCTCCTAAAGTCCAGTTCTACTGAAGCCCGAATTGCCGCTGCAAAGACTATATATGCTGTCTCTCAAGGTGGTGCAAAAGATCACGTTGGTTCCAAAATTTTTTCAACTGAAGGAGTAGTACCCGTGCTTTGGGAGCAGTTGCGAGCTGGCCCGAAAACCGAAAATGTAGTTGAAACTTTATTGACAGGAACATTGAAAAATCTCTCCAACAGTGCTGAGGGATTCTGGAACTCAACAGTTCAATCTGGAGGAGTGGACATATTAGTGAAGTTATTGGCAACAGGGCAGCCTAGCACTTTATCCAGTGTTTGCTTTTTACTTGCTTCTGTAATGATGGAGGATGCATCTGTTTGTTCGAAGGTGTTGAGCGCAGAGGTGACTAAACAACTTTTGAAACTGTTAGGCCCTGGTAATGATGACCTTGCGTGAAAGTAGCATTGCTGTCAGAGCTCTTTATTCAGCCATGAAGCTGCTCAATGTTGAATCCGAAAGTATCCTAATGGAGTCCTCAAACTGCCTGGCTTCAATATTTCTTTCCATCAAAGAGAACAAGGATGTAGCAGCTCTTGCTAGAGATACATTAACCACCCTAGTTACTCTAGCTAACTCTTCAGTTTTGGAAGTGGCAGAGATGGCTATAGGTGCTGTAGCGAATCTTATTTTGGATACTGAAATAGCAAAGAAAGTTGTTCTAGAAGAAGTTATCTTGCCTGCCACCAGAGTATTACGTGAAGGCACAAATTCTGGAAAAACTCGTGCTGCAGCTGCTATCGCTCGCCTCTTACATTCTCAGAAAGTTGATAATGCTGTTACTGATTGTGTGAATCGCGCCGGCACTGTTCTTGCATTAGTTTCCTTTTTGGATTCTTCTGTCAATGAATCTGTTTCCACATCAGAGGCTCTAGAAATTTGGCTATGCAAACGCCCTCTTAATATTCTATATGTTATGATATTTGGAAACAATAGGATTTGGTAATTTAAAATGTTATTTGGTATTTGATGGATCATAATATATATGCAATGAGTAACTTAAAGCGTTATTTGTGTTGAATTGAATATAGTTATTTTATATTTACACCAAAAAAATGATTGTGTAAGAAAAAATATTGTATTGTACTTATTAAAAATATTGTACCAAATATGTACCATTTATTAGCACTTTATTTGAAAGCGCTATCAAACATATGTTATATATTAGCGCTTTTTGTTTAGAGTGCTATAAAAAAACAAACAAAAAACATGCAAAATACTGACTTTGATAGCACTTTAATTAAAACGCTATTATAAATTGGTACTTTAATAGCGCTTTTAAAGTGCTATTAAATAAGAAATATTTACAATAGTGGCGCGGTTAATAGCACTTTTAAGCGCTATCAAAAAAAAAAAACGCTATTAAATAGCTTATTTGGCGTAGTGAATCTAACCATGTAAATAATTAAAGCTGAAAGTCAAAGATAAAAGAGAATTTCTCTGGCCCTAATTTAAACCCTAAAATTTTCAGAAACTTCAACTCTAAAATTCTCTAAGCTCAGGCCATATAAATGCAAACTATGGATATGTACAACTTCGTGGAAATGAGGTCTACATCTTATCTTCACAAATGCAAGCCTAACATTGCCTAAGTAATGAGATAGAAGTTCAAGAAAAATACCTCAAAACTGGAAATCGTGAAATGCAAATGAGCTTGTTTCAAGCAGTGCTGATGATCAGGTTAGCTTCTTTGGACCTCTAGGAAGCTAATGCAATGGCTGGCTTGAGATGAGGATGGCTGGAATGGTCTGGAGAAGTCCACCTGTGATGCTCTGTTTTTGGTTATGGAAGACAGGGAAAATGGTTTTACATAAATGAAACAGGCACAAGGATGAGTTACACTTGATGCAAGGAAGCTTTATAAACTAAAAGGCCAAGAAACACACGAGGGAAATGTGAGTCTGGTATGTAAAGTCAGAACTTGGACAACAATGGTGTTTTGGAACAATTTCTGGCTAGAGGGAGTTTGAGTGACTTTCAGGGGCTTCTTACTCGTGTGTCAACTTGTAAATAGTGTGTATACTTATAAGCCAGAGGTTTTGAGGCTTGTATCAACTCAGAATTTGAATTTGCATCCTTAAGCTAAACATGTGGTTTTTTGAGAAAAACAAGTTTCAATGTTTGTGTACTTGATAAGGTAGAGTGTTTAAACTTTAAACACTCTTGCTTATGACTTTGTAGGTGAAGTGTGATCAGAGGGAACAAGTTAGAGGCTCAAGAGTGGACTTTATGCAAAAAGCTTCTTTACAAGAATGGTATTGTTAGCTTTCTTCCCAAAATGGCAATGTGGATTAGATAAAGCTTAAATCACTTGGATTATAGCTCAAAAGTTTGTGTAATCCATTAATTATGGAGTGACAAACAAGTTTGAGGCCTGAAAAGCAAAGATCATGCAGCCTAACATTGATTTGCATTTGTGTTCATCATGAAAATGACATATAATTGAAGTGACAAAACACCAACTTCATCTCTTCGATTCTCCCTACTCAAGAATGATATCAAGGATTTCTTTGACATTTTGGAAAGCTTTCAATGTGATATATAACTCATCTTTGAATTTCTTTTTAATATTCCCATTGGAACCATGTGAAAAATTTCCATGAAGTTAGGTAAAAAATCTGCCTAACTAGGGCAAAATTTCACTAAGTTATTTTTAGTTCATGAGCATGTATTCACAAAATTATATCTTGAGATCCAAACATTTTTAGGAGAAATTGTGTGAAGCAAAGTTTTATATTTCAAGGAGATATAAAACTTTCATGTTAGAAGTTTCCTTTGAATCATATTGCATCATGGTGAAAATTTGGCTCAAAGTTGTGAAAAAATAAGAAATTTTCTATACTTAGAAAAATTTCTAAGTTAAGAAATTTCATCTTTTCAAAATAAAATCTTGAATTCTTGATTTCTTGATGAACAAGTTTCATATTTTGGCATGTTTTGATGAATCATGATCCTTGGCACTTGAATTTGAACAAAAAGTCAAAGTTTGACTTTTCAATATACAGTTAACTTTTGATCAGTTGACTGTAAAATTCATCGGTCAGTCCAATGGATTTGTAATGTTTTGAATCATG